CTCTCTTGAAGTCCAGGGTAGCTATTCTACTTCTCGCCCCACCTCCTCCACGCCGGATCGTGATTTAACCTTAACAACATCAAGTATGCTGTCTAGGAAATCCTATGGTAATACTGAGAGATATTTTTGGGGGGGGAGGAAGGAGGGTGCTTTTTGTTCATTTCCTTTTCAGATTTGATTTCACTGGTTTCTCATCTATTTGGAGCTCTTAAACACTTTTTGTATTAGTATCAACAAATTTTAGCAAAGTATGATTTTACATGACTGAAAAAGATTTGCATAGCTATAAAAATTAGGAATCTCTTGATCAAACAGAAGAAGTATTTTTATACTTAAACTGCTGTATTTTTTCCATCAATCATAAAACATTCAATACATTCAATAAAGAGGGATGCATCAGTTGTTTGGTACTGTGAAGAGAAGAATGGAACTACCAAAATTTTTGGTCATTTTTTAGCACCTTGAAATAATTTAAGACTATATCAGCTCTTGTTGTTTTGAATGATTTCACACGTAATAGTTACCTTATAAAAATTTTTGAAGGAAAACCTCACCTGCTGGGTAATGCTGTCTTCCTACATCTCCACTGCTGCTGCTGCTGCCAAGGCTAGTAGTGCTTTGTGCAAGCTCACTTGTAATTAGCCCCGGGACTCCTGTTCTTGATGACAAACTATCTCCTAAAAGACTGTCTTCAAAACCAATAGGAAAGGTAAAGTCTTGACGAGTGATTTCTTCCTTTAAAACACACACATAAAGGAATCGGTATTTTCAGTGTCTTCAGATTCAGTTCCCATAGGATGTTTTACATCTATCCTTATCACAGTAAACGATTTTAGTAGCAGATTAAGAGACAGAGTTAACATACAGAAGTTATGATACGTAAACTAAACCTAGACAATCCAGGAGATGATCTGTGAGAGTATTTTGCTGAGGATTAAGCTGAATGATAAGCAGACAGGGACCCCACAACATATTCTATTGAATGAATGTGCTCAAAGCAAAAACCTAGTATTTAGTTTCCAGAATCCTGAATAGAGAGTTTATTATAGCTTAAATTGTCCTTTATGCTACCAACTTTAATCTTCCGGTATGATTTCTTAGGTTTCTGGAATCCAGTTGTCTTTGCTACTTTTTTGGCTTGCTTGTTTTTAATAAGCATGAAGAATCATATAATTTAAGGTGACTGAATTTTGTTCTTATTCGGGCTTTTTTTAATTGCAGCTTCTTAAAAGGACATATATTATATATACATATATAATATGTATACAAATGCATGTAATATAGGTTTTAAATATATACAAGTAATCTTTTCTATATATATACACATAGATAAATATAGAAACTAAGAATATAGAAAATATAGAAAATAAGAAAAATGAGAAAAATGAGAACAAAAAGTCAAAGTTCCAAGATTATTGTTCCCAGATCATTTAAATTATTTCCTCATTTCAAGTGACATCACAAAGCCTCTTTCCACACAAAATTAACCACAGAAAGAGGTATTTTTTTCTTAGCTAACAAAAGTCAGCACTAAATATCTTATGGCTTAATCTTCTAGACAGAGAAGACATTCCTTCTCTTCCTCTCACTTTGACTCCAAAATTTTTCATATTGAAATATACTTACCTCATCATCTGAGTAATTATATGCTGAGGTTACAGCTCCCCACATTTTACTGGCCACATTAGCAGCTTGCTTCATGCCTGACTTCAGAACATCCATTTTTGGCCCAGAGAGTATATTGTCTAACTTCAGATTTGATAAAGTTGTTACTACAGATCCTAAAGAGCCATGTGGAGAACGTCCCAGTCCTGTTAGGGATGAAGACCGCTCCTTTTGAACCCGTGGATGGGTTTGTTGCTTTGGTCGTCCAGTGAATGTTTTGGATCTGGAGACAGAAGGACTTCTCCGATTTTCATAAGACTCAGGAGGGGTCGGGATCGGATCCAAAGGTAGGCTTGACCTCCTCTCTTGGGTGTGACCAAGGGTACCAGCAGCTTCTGCTTCCCTAACTGGCTTATGCAGTTCCATGCTGGGAAACTTGCTACTCAAGGGATTCTTCATATTCATATAGCTCTCTATTTCATCTGCCAAATTGCGTGCTGCAACCGGTGACACTAGTTTTTCCTCAGGTTCTGGATGCCTTGATTGCATGCTGTCAGTGGCCAGCAAAGACAAGGGGTCTAGGCCCACTTCGACATCTTCCCTTTCAACAGGTTTAACTACTCCATAAAAGCTATTCCTTTTAGTTGTGATATCTTTGGGTTCTGTTTTCTGATTTTCAGACTCATCTAACTGTTTGTGGTCCATGACTTTAACTGCAGCTACATTCTCACTGCCTCCGTTTTCCAGATGATCCTGGCATTCCCCAGGTTCTACCAGCACTGGTGAGGACTGGTGCTCTGATTCACCATCACTCTCATTCACGTGAATGAGAGTGTCACTGAAGCCAGAAACCTGCTGGTCACCAATATTATCAAGGCTGTGGGATTTGTTAGTATAAGAGGGTGATGCTTTGGCCCCAGATAAAGCTGCTGTTAGAATCTTGGCATCTTCTCCCATCATTATTGCTACTTCTCTAGAGTTCAAGTCCAAGCTGCCTTTTTTCAGCAGCATTCCTGCCCTACTTTCACTGCTGAAACTGCAGCTTCTCTCTGAAAAGAGCTTCTGCCTCTTCTGTCCTTTTTCACTTGACTTCCTAGCAGAAATGTCAAAGACATCTTCAGCTGAATTCTGAGCTACAAACAGGGGGCTAGAACTTGTTCCTGAAAGAAAAAAAAACGTATTAATATGGTCTCACAGCCACCAAGAATTGATAATCTATTTCCTGAAGTCATCGATAAGAAAATTGTGAATGCCACTCAACTTCCACACTCCCAAGTTACCTATTGACAAGTTATACTATCATTAGCAATTTGTTATACCAGCCGCAAGAACATCTTGCATATCAAAACATAYGTACTCCATATAGTCAAAACCTTGCCATGAAATGCTCCATGAGATTCCAACCTTCCCACCCTACACAACTCCCCAGATGAGGCTAGATACATCTATGAACTAAGGACCATAAGAAAYACAGATGAGTTTAAATGAACTACTTTTTCATTTCTTTTGTCTGTTTTCTTACAGAGCTGTATTCAACGTATCTATACACCAATTCCATGGTTCATTCTAGTTCTGCAGATGGGCACTGTGTCTGTCCGTACAACAAAGAAGCATTACTTTATTTATGGCACCAGCCATTCAGAAAATAACTAAAACATTTGTAAAACACTAAGTATTCTCATCCCCTCAGGGCATTTTTTTCCAAAAAACTGTTAGCCAAGCAGAAACCTTGATTTCTCATTACTTCTACAAGAACAGTAATTCTATGCTTTGCTATCAGCCACATGCTGACTTACCATTTAAATATCCAGCTGATGAGCTACCTATAGCTCACAAATATTGAGGTATAGCCTTCGCCAAAAACAAGCATGATGAGGACAGAGGAAGAACCAAAATTTCGCTTTTGCATACACACAGATCATTCTCCTCATAAACCTCCAGATAYGTAAATAAATGTTGTACAACATAAAAGCAGCATGCATTGACCTCAGATTGGGAAGGGGAAATAAGGGAAAATAAGCCGTGGAGAAATTCAGTTACTTCTCCAAAGTCAGTGATGTTAAGGCGACAAAGAGTACAGACTGATTCTTGAGGTTTTCTAGTACGTCACAAAATAGTGAATGTGGAATAGGAAATATTGATGTCAATATAGTCAATATAACTATATTGACTATGTGACTTCCCACTACAGAATTTGATCTCCAAAGGATAAGAAGGAAAATACAAGCCGCGCCAAAATCTGCACCTCTTACTTTCTTTAAATGACATCAGGAAGGTTCAAAATCATGTATTACAATGAGATGAGGATTCTATCAAGCTTTGTTTTACCCAGTGACTCACCACCACTGTTTTTCCTTCTGCTGCTATCAAAAATGCCAGACGGAACTTTCACAATACTGTTACCCCATGCAGGTGGGTCTGTAAGACTGGGAGTTTCTGTACTCAGCTGCAGCTTTTCACCAGGCTCTCCTGTACCACAAACTTCTGGAAAAAAAAGAGAACGTAAACTTCAGTTTACTTCATTTGCACAGCTAATTTCATTTGCACTGTTCTTCCCACATACAGTTAGTGCCTAAAGGATTAGTCATATATTTCCAGGAAGATTATGATACACAGTATCATGCAGAGAATGCTTAGTTGCTTAAAAGATCAGAACCTCTGCTAAATAACTTCCCTTGATGATTTTCACCCATTCAGAGAAGGAAGAGCAGAATTCATGCAGGGCTATTTCTGCAATGACAACATTAGAAATCCTAAATGACATTAGGATTTTAGTAACACAGATAATATGACACAAAATCACTTCGGGGGAACTTAAAATATAGTAAAACAAAGGACGCAATCTGAATAAAAGAAACATGATGACTACAGGAGAGCAAATTTTATAGCAACAAATAGTGTTTGCTAGGTCAACTGGCAGAGCTAAAAAAAAAAAGCTCAAAAAAAGCCAGACACATGAGAAATAAAATGCTAAGAATGGCATGTGCCCCCAAATTTGTTCAATCTTTCCATCTGTATTAAATTTACTGAACATGTAAGTGTTTAGTAAATGTTTACTCTCTACTCATATATATTTTATTGCCTCTCATTAGTATTAGCAGAAGTCCACTAGATTCTGCAATGTTGTATTTTGACTCTATTTTTAGCAATATTATGAATTCAATACGTCAAGTATTTTGGGTACTTGGATAATGAAGCAGATTTATAAAAACAAAGTCTCAGTGGGTGTATGTAAATTTGCATACTTCACCTCCTATTATATCTTCATCTTTAGAAGAAGTACTTTTCTCTACTTGTATTTCAGTTGCATGAAGACCATCTCCATCATCTCTTACAAGTTCATCCTTGGATCCATAGCCCTGGTCTGACTGACCTCCTGTAACAATGAATAAAAACAAGTGTCTCAAAGCTGYTTTTCCCATTAAATTTGCTTTTCAATAAGAAAAAATAAAATTAATTTGTGTCACGTCATTTTGCCATTACAATTCAAAATAAGATCACCAAAATGGCTAATACATGCACTAATCTACTTCATGATAGCAGAGGTAATTTAAAAAGTCAGTTTGGATATTATTGCCTAATTATTCCACTAAACACAAGATAATCCTCTAAGAGTACTATCGTTATTAACTAACACCAATTCRTTTTATGAAACCCTAAAAATATCTCCTTTCACTCTTCTCTCATTAGGTTGAAATATTTCTTTCTGGGCAAGCTAAATTCTCTCATGTAAATACAAAAGAAATTAATGACTCACACTAAGGCAACTATTAACAGTGAGTACATTCCTAGAAAACCTGCTATAAGCTATACTATATCTTTGTTATACTGTATTCAAACAAGGAAACATAAAAATATTTTAAAACCAAACAGTTAAAAGAATCCTACTTGTGCCATGATTTCAGTTATGCTAGAGAGCATTAATACATTATTGAAAATTCAATTTATGTTAGCCTAAAAATCCGCTGCAGACAACAAATTAACAAAGCGCTTTGTACTTTATTTCTATTTCAAATACTTCTGCTTATGTGAAACTATACAAATAGCATATGGGAAATATTCCATAGCACTTTAAACAATATTCTATTGTGTGCTTCAGAGCACCTACTAGGATACATTTAAAAAATAACAGTATTATCCAGTATGACATTAAAAGGTATTAGAAGGCTCCAAAAATTTCAGAGAGAACTTCAGGATACAAAAACACAGAAATAATTTAGCTATAGCATGTAAATTACTGAAATAATTTTAACCCCAAAGTGTAAACAGGTGAAAAATGAAATTTGAAAGTTTGAGCAGCCAGCAATCAACACATTTGGCTACTAAGAAAACCTTTTACATTTAAAGAAAAGTAAGTTTCAACATCCTTTGGTCCTTATTTTCTCTCTGCCAACATTTCAGTGATGTAAGTCTCTCTATTTTGCACAGAATGAAAATACCCTACCAATAAATGGGCAAATTACCTGCAGAAGTAACATTCAAGGGCAGAATTAATGCACACGTGCATCCAAGGCTTCACACCAAACAAGTCTGCACCCCACACCATGATAGCCAAGGACAAACGCAGCACCCGAGAGACAGCAAAGAGCAAAAAGCAGAGCAATAAAGAGCAGAGAGAAGGAAAGTTCAGTAATCTAGACAGGCATATTGAATGAAGCACAGGAATCAGACTCAAAATCATCTTTAAAGAGAATGTGCAGAATAAGTTTTGAAGTACAAATACATACAAGATTTAGTTGAGACTATGCACAGGTAGGATGTAATCAGTATTAAAATAGAATGAAGAAACAGGAATTTGATTTTGTCATATCAAGTGATTAACTTGTCATGCACTTTTTTACTCCAGTTTATCTGGAAGACTATGCCCTGTGCTTAGAGAGTGCTTCACTCCAGATTATTAACTGTCCTTAAACTYCCAGTGTCTCCCAAAGGTTTAGATCATTTATATTTATTCTGAAACCTGGAAATTAATGGTAAGTCTGAATATGGGTTTTAAAACAGTTGTCATCCTGACAACTATAACATATATTAGTTATAGGAATTTTAATTAGGCTTTACCCTATTACCATTAAGGAACAGCATAGAAAAGTGTCAGTCTCTACTCACCTAAGAAACTTTTGTTTATTTCCTTACCAATACATATTAAAGATTTACTCAAAAAGACTGTAATTTCTATGAATATATGACAACATATATTAACTGAAAAAATTCACTTGTCCAAGACTTTGTAACTTTCCTGAAAAATCTAGCAYAAGATGCAAGGCTCATGAAGCCACTTTATCAGCAAGACATTTAGCTTAAGATAAGAGCACTTCTTCAACGCTTCACTCTAGACTAAAGAAGCAGTGCCGATTATGGTAAAGGRGTAATATTCAGTAAGAGGGTATTTCTTTCTCTTCATATATACTTTTATTCTCTACAAACTCTAGAGGTGAAGGAAGTGGTGGAAAATCAACAACAATCTAGAAACTTCAGCCTTTTGGGGGGACTGTTAGTAATGAAACTCAGCAGAATCTAGTACCTGTGCTAGAGTGATTATCAATGGAATCAAGCCTGACTAAGTCTCTGACGAAGAGTGTGTGCTCCCCACTGTTTGCATCATTAGAACTATCCACGCTACCATGGCTCACCATGTCCCCATCACTTCCACCTGTGGTACTCTGCAGAGCTGAAGACATGAACGAGAGTTGGTTAGTAAGAGAGGATTTAAAAATTCAGATTTTCAAATATATCTGTCCTCTTCAGACAACAATAAATACTTTCTGTTGCATATATTAAAATATAAATATGGAATTATAGCAACTGGATTTCTAGCAATTGGACTTAGATAATTCTTTCTTCACTGTGGGGCAGRCAGTCTTATGTTGTTTAAAGCATCAAGTTAGTAATTATCCATTTTTATACACTTTAAGAAAGATTTCCCACTTGTAAGAGCCACATTGTTAGATGCAATCCCTCAGAAAGTGTGCTTGTTCACAGAAACAAATCCATTTCAGTTAACGTATTACCTGATATCACAGTGACTTGTGAGCTCTGCGTTGCTTTCTTTAGACACTGCCTAAATTGTGCTGTGCCACGAACTACATTTCGTACCTTTGTCCACAGAAACACACCACTGCGGTTACTGCTAGGCCATGGAGACTCTAAAACTGCCTACAGAAATAGGGATGTTAAAGTAACAAGGCTATAGTAACAAAGTAAAACACGCAGTACCGTATGAAGCTTCCAGTTTCATACGCTAAGAAAAGAACAAAAAGACATTTACTTTATATGAATTCATGAGTTTTCTCTTGATAGAATAGCTGATAGAGGACTACAGAAGAAGTTAGTAAGATGACTCCTCCTTATTCATACACTACAGCAGCAGCAAAAGACTGCAGTAGTAKTTCTTTTCCTATTATTTTATCTAGTTTAACTTCTTATGAAGTTCTGTCAGAATGTTACAGAATTTTGGGAGCAAGAAAAAAGGCTATTTCAGTTAGCTGAATCCCAGCCTTCGTTAATCATGACTGAATTCTGCATCCATAAAGGATATATCTAGGAAGTGACAGCTTCCAAAGCTTTAACGTGGAAATACTAGATAAGTAACAATTCTTGGAAATCGACACTCTACATGTATTTTTCAAAAGCTGGTAAAAGTTGCTTAGCTAAACAGCACAGGAACATAAATTTAAAAAAAAAATGTAAAACCACCATAGTGTGTTTCTGGAAGCATAAGCGTGCTTGAAAGCACTGCTTGCTCAGAAGAACAAGTATATTAGAACTATATGTAGAGTAAGAAATGATCTTTAAGACTGCTATGGAACAAGAGGGCACTAAGTGCAGCAAGGCAGATTTCAGTCCAGGATTCTTAGCAAGATTTCTCTTACCTTATTATAATAACCATAAGTGATGGCATTTGGCTCTATTCCTGCATTTTTCATTTCAAAGAGTACTCTCACAGCTTGAACAGGCTGACCCCATAGTCCACAGAGTTGCATTACAACTCTATAGCAGACCTGAAAAGATAACAAAAGAATCCATACATAGATTAGCAACAAGAATTTTGAATAATTTAAGCTCTACCATATTTAATAACTGTTGTACACATAAAGGGAAGAGTTATGTGAATGCAGCCACTCAGTAACAAACAACATGCAACAATACACAACAGCCAGAAGAGGGAGCAAAAATTAAACAGGAATTTACACTTGAGTAGAAATAGCACCAGCAGTTGCATTGCTGAGAATGCTGATTTTTTTTTTCTTTTGGCCCTTGTTTAGGCCAAAGACAGAAGGAAAAACCAACACAAAAGGAACCTGCTTTGTGTGCCTGTGGATGATGAAAGAATGGAATGGTATGCACAGACCTTCCCCTCCCTATCCACCCCTTTCCCCCCCAAAAAAAATCACATTATCTCTTCATTCAATAAGGCTGAAGAGCATTATTTCAAAGAACATTTTTAAAATTGGTGTATTCAAAATTTTCCTTCTGGCATAAGAGTGGAGAAAGGCTAGCAGCACCAAGTTGGAGTAGCGAACCCATCTGACTCCATGATGAAATATGCCCTGGTTAAGTAGACTTTCTTTAAGACCATTTCACAGTGACTTTGAAACAGGTCAGACCAAAAATCTGTGCATGTTTTTAACCTCCTGGTGGTGATAAAACAYACCAAATTTATACCTTACCTACTACTCCATACTTGTGGTAATATTTTTTTTAAAATTAATACTAACCTCATCTAGTGGCTCCACATCGGTTTTCCTCATTTTAATGAGAACATCATATGCCTGCTGCAGTGCTCTGACCTTGGGATGAGCAACTCTAATGTAGGCTGGCAGACAGATAAACCATAAGCTGTAACTATGACTGAAGAGACATTTAGCCCACTGTGGGGGGCTTAGGTAACACTTCTTGGCTAACTTATGGGCTGTTTTTAT